AAACTTTGGTCCTTCAGGTGTTTTGGACTTCAGCTCCCAGAATTCCTGGGTATTGGCCAAGGTGGCTGGGGCTTCTGGGAGTTGAAGTTCAAAACTCCTGGAGGACCAAAGTTTGGGAATCACTTTTCACACTGGGGTGTGTGTGTGTGTGCCTTTGTGAGGGATATATGTGTATTATGTGTAGGCACCTATTTTGAATCAGGTGAAGAGATGAGAGTGCCCCTGCAGTAGGGAACAATGGGGGAAGAAGGGATGAGTTACATTACAGTGGAGATGCCTGCAAAATATGTATGTGTATATATATATATATATATATATATATATATATATATATGATGAAGTTGGTGGTATTCTGATGAAGATAATATGAGTGCCTATTCCCAGCTTGGCTGTGAAACCCATTGGATGACCTTGGGCAAGTCACATGCTCTCAGCCTCAGAAGAAGGCAAAGGCAAAACCTGCTCTGAACAAGCTCACCAGATGCCATAACCACAAAAGAGGACAAAGCACCTCAAAATGTAGGGTGTTCAAGAAAAATGTAGGCCATTACAAAATAAAAACTAGAAACACTTGTATAAATTCATGCTTCTTAGTCATGCTCATGTTCCTCCTGGACAGAAGGCTAAAATGTAGGGCATATCCTGGAAAAGGAGGACACATGGTCACCCTGCCTTTGAACAGATCTTGCCAAAAAACAAAACAAAACCCCATGATAGGATCATGTTAGGATTACTACAAGTCAGAAAGGCATTCAACAACAAACAACAATTATGTGTAAAGTGACACCAAAGAGCTCCAGTTTCATGTGGGATGTTGCTTGAAAAAAGAGGAGTGAGAATATTTTTGTGCAGGGGTACATAAGGAGTGGCATGAATGGATTTTGATATATAGAGTGAGTGGATATCTGTGTATGAGCCTGAGAAGCGTGAGATAGTTGTACATTTATGTCTTGAGGATGAGGTGGCATGAGTGGGTTCCATGTTGTAGCACAAGATAGTAAATCTGTGTGTCTTGAAGAGTCTAAATAGGTATTTGCCTGAATTGGGATACATGGGAATGGATGATAATTTTCTATTTCTGTGATGGGTGGTTGTGTGAATGTACTCCTGAAAAAAATGAGAGAAGGTAAAGGATTTGTGTGAAAAGCTAGGCGTAGCTTCAAAGTACTTGCATTTGTGTTAGTGCATGTGTGGCTGGGGGAGGCTGGTGGTGGTGTATGTGGCTACATTACAAATATAAACATATTTGCATGTAATATATAATATGTGTATTTTGAAGCAAACATGATCTATATTTGAAGTCCACTAATTATGCAGATATGTGTGTATCTTCAGAAGAATATGAAGGATACAGTATTAATGCAAATGTTATTACTGAACATGAGCATACTCTCTTTTCTGAGCAAATACATTTCATTATGTATTTATTGAAAGATGAGAAGGCAAGAGGAACTCTTTCAGCAGCTTCACTGGGTGCAACATTCATTTACTCATATATAGGATGTGTATTTGCGTACCAACAGATCTATTTAATGAGTGTAGTGTAGTGCCCCAGTTTGTGTATAAAGATCTACATTTGATGTTTTCTGCATAATTTATTCCTTCTGGACCTGGATTTTCATGTGCACATAAGGAAGAAGTGATTACACGCATGAAAGTCTATGTCTATGTTTTCCATTGATCTAGTGTGTGTTGTCTATATATGTTGGCATACATTTGTGTTTTTGTATTTCTGAATTTGAGGATATGTTAACTGATCTGAGTATATGCCACATATATGTCAGGACAGCCCATGTTGTTCTTGTATGCCTTCAAGTTGTTTCTGGCTTATGGAGATCCTATCACAGGGATTTTTGTTGGCAAAATTTATTCAGAGGAGGTTTGCCATTGCTTCCCCTGCAGCTGAGAGTGTGTGACTTGCCCAAGGTCACCCAATAGATTTCCATGGCTAAGCAGGGAATTGAACCCTGATCTTCAGCATTGTAGTCCAACACTCAAACCACTTCTCCACACTGGCTCTCCAGGATTGCCCATACTGTTGTTGTTTTTCAAACCATTTACATGGAACCTTTTGTGGCTAGACAGTGTTGTGTGACTCATATCTCTGAAGATTATGTAGACTATAATGTCTGTATAGTCTTGTTTAACCCACATTATTCCTTATACTGTCCATTTTTAGCTCTTATGAGTAAAACTATGCCTACACACTGTTTTATCATAAAACAAAAAGGGTTTGTATGGTTTTTGCACAACATGCACCTTCCGTTTAAATTCTTCCAGCTATTTTGAAGAAATTTCACAATTACTACAACATGGTGCCATGTTGTCATGAGAAGCTTTTATCCCACGTGGAAGAATCAAATGAAGAGAAGGATCACTTCACTTTAAAATGACAACATGAGGAAAATGTGACGTGGATGCTGTTCAAAGAACTTCTGCATATTAGTAACAGTAACTACAATATGTTGATGGAATTATAGACATATAATAATCCATATTGAGTTCCCAGAAAACACTGCTAGTAAAGAACAGGTAAAATGATAATCACCTCTCAGGGAAGAAATTCGTATTGAGCCTGCTGTCTGTCTGGTGAGATGCCACCAATTTTGATTATAAAACTACATAGGAATAGAACACTACTCAATAACATTTAGACTAGAGATAGAGAAACAATATTGAAAATCTGAAGTTTGATGTCATAGATTTTTAACCCTAATTATCTTTCAGGGCCGCTATACAAAAGTCTTCCTTCAGCCTAAGGTCAGCCTGGAGGTTGAGTATAATTGAAAGTCCCCCTAGTCAGCTAGAAGGCCTATCTTACAGGCACAGAGTCAGAAAGATGCTTAAAGAAAATGTTCTTGTCTAAAGACTTTTACATGTTTTACCATTAAATTACATCTTCCACATCTTCTAGATTCAGTACTTGGAAAGCAGAAAAGGAAATCAGTTTGGACATAAGGAGGTAAAGTAGCTGGGGGTGGTAATTTAATCAACCAAGGATATTTCAATGTTATTTTTTTTCCTTGCCTCCTAACCATTAGCACTTTAAATTCATTATGTCTGTTTGACAGATATATGCAGCCTTAAGGATCTAAAAATGAAATCCAAGAAGTATAGCCTGCTAGAGGACATATATTGAAGTTAAGAGATTAAAACCATTGCAAGCAGAATAGAACATCTCATTCCTTATAAGCATGAGTATTTTGCAGATGTTAAATACAGTCTGCTCTAATTATTTTTTTAAAAGATCTGCTCAAGAGTCAAAGTTTCCTAACTTCTAATATTGATGGAGTGGATATTAAAAAGACAATATTAGCTGGCGTGCAGTCTCAAGCAGAAATAGCATTCCACAGGGGCTTTTCTTCTATCAATAATTTAATAAAGGTAGGTGCAGCTACATGTTTTAAAGACTTGGGAATCATGGCTGTATTTTCTATAAATCCAATAGCAAAAAGAAGAAAAAAGAAAAGAAGAAAAGCCAAATGAAAAAGTGGCTTTTGTCTAACTGGAACAATTAAAGACATCTGTGTCATTACAACCATTTAGCAATGTTAATGATCTATAATATTAATACATCATCCTTCAAAATGAGGAAGTGTCATCCTAATTAAAATGCATTAAAGCAGCCATTAGAAAGCCATCTAAAGCAATTGTAAAAGATACTGGGAGGATAAGGATATTCATTACATCCCAAATCTCTCTTGCCCTTACAATTTTAACAGAGGAAGTTTTGGTTCCAGGCAACCTGCTCTTTACTTCAGCTCCAGACAAGTAAAAAATGCAGCTCTACAGCCAAGCAATGGCATATATTGCTTGGGCTTTATCAGTTCCCCTTATCTGTAGCAGTAGTTTAACACTTCCTATACAGCAAGGCAGTATTAGGTAGGATTTTAGCATATCTCTTTAAATTCCTTTAGTGGGGGGAGAAGAGAGGGAGAGAAAAGGTTCAATCTAGTGAAATACACATGTGTCCAGACAGACTCTCATAAGATTAGGGTCATATTTTGAAATCATATTTCAAACTATATTGAAATGTACCTTTTGATATTTTTCTTCAACCAGTGATAATGTAATGTTTAAACATAAATCCAAGTTGCCTATCATCTGATGTCTGATAATCTCTTAATTCTCCATACTGCCAGTTTGAATTCTGTGCTAAAGATGCACAGTTCCAATGAAATAGTGTCAGGCCCAGAAGAGATAAAAGCATGGGAAAATATGTGGTATAAGGCACAGAATGAAGTAGCAACAGTGTCCTATTAAAAAAAAAAAACCCTTCACATAGACAGTATATGGTATTTAATGTTTAACAAAGAGAACAAAGCTAATTTCTAGACAGAATTTACAATTAAAAGTAGTTTAATTATGTTTCTCTAATTAATTGTCCAGGGGGAATACTCCTCAAATTAAAATTAGCATTGGAGGATTGTATGGACCTATATTCCTAAATTATCCTGTACTCTTTATATTCTGATTTGTACAATTATCTGCCATTCTTCAAAATGTTACCTATAACGATGAAAAAGAAATCTACCTTATCCAAATACCTTTACATATATAAATTTTAGTCATTTACAAAGGAGTATTACCATCAGTGTGTCCCCTATTTTCTGTCTCTGTTTATGCAAAACTCCTCCCAAAAATGTTTTAACTATGCACAAACCAAGGTGATCTATATAATAGTCATCTAATGTAAGTAGCACTCCGTTTTAATTGAAGATTTCACAATATTGTTGCTTCGATGTCATCTAGCTCTGAGAGGGAAATGTATATATGATTTTACTTTTACCATACAATTTTGAAAGAGAACTTAAGTTATGTATTTTAACTTTATAATGCATATATATATATCCATGAAAGGCTGGCCTTGGGGTGGTCTCTCACCATTAGCATCAAAATGAAAGGAGTCCCAAATTGAGCTCAATGATCTGGGTCCCTTTCACATACACAATTATAACACTTTGATTCCACTTTAACTGCTATGGCTTCATCCTATAGTATCCTAGGGTTTGTAGTTTGCAGGGCAGGGGGAGACACTAAATCTCTCTGGCAGAGCATTCTAAATACTCCTTGCAACTATAAATTCCAAGATTCCATAGGATGAAACCATGGTAGTTAAAGTGAAATCAAAGTTTTGGTTGTTAAAGTAGAATCAAAACTGTGTGGTATGAAAGAGCCCTGGTCTGCTCACATTCTGTCTTCATTGAACTATAGTTTCTTTAAATTTTTCCACCTGATGTTCTTCAGGGTTTGAGGGTAATAACTAAAAAAATGAGCTTCAACCAATTAGTTTTATTATAGGTTTTCTTCATCAATTTCCACTTTTATGTCATCCATGCTAGATAAAACATGATGGAACATAGTTTTGGTTTAGGGCAGTAGTGAACAAAGTGTACCTTGTACACCTCATGAGGTCCCTAAGGCCATTTATGTGACCACTGGGCTCCAAAGTTAGGAGTGTGGGAGATTTTTGCCTCATTTTTTGATCCCTGGACAATTTTAGGGCATTTGGGGCAAATTATTTTGTGTGTGAAGGGTGCGATCCTCCAAAGTCTCCTGGGAGGCTAATGTAGCGCCCTAACTTTCTATATTTGTCTACCCATACTTTAAGGCGAATTTCCCAAGCACTGTAAGACTTTCTACAGATACTGTATGCTGTATAAATAATTTTATAAAAGAAAGGCATAAACTGGTGGGGTGAACACTAAAGGCACTCCATACAAGGGTGTGATTCCTCCTAGGGCTACCCCTGCAGACATGTTAAATAATGCAGATAAACACACCCTATCCATATATATGGAGTCCAGGAAAAGAATTGCTCCTCTCTTTTCTAATCTGACATTGTTCTTTCAGTAAATTATAAAGGGGGCCTATCTCTGCTGAAAAGTATTGCCTTTTTAATTTAATGGAAACATAACTCATTTATTCAGTAGGTGAGTGTGATCTGGGAAGCCTCAGCTCCAAATTTTATGTCAACTACTAGTATTAGTCTTAAGCAAGCCACTTTTTTTTTTTTTTTTTGCCTTATCCTGCAATGTGTATGTGAGTGTATGTGCCTTCAAGTCACCTGTCGATTTATGGCAACCCCATGAATTTCATAGGGTGTTTTTAGGCAAGGAATACTCAAAGGTGGTTTTGACAGTTTCTTTCTCTGAAATATAGCCCACAATGCCTGGTATTTGTTGGCGGTCTCCCAACCAAGTACTAACCAGGGATAATCCTGTTTAGCTACCAAGATCAGACAGGATCTGGTGCTTTTTGGTTATTCTGGTCTAATAATACTGGCCTAATTTTCTAATTGGGTTGTTCTATAAAGGTAGAAAGCCAACTAGCTGCCCAGCTTGCACCCACTTCCTCGCACTCACTTATTAGACCAACTGGAGAGACACCACCTGTGAACTAGCAGGGGCTATGAGGTTAGATGGAACAAGCTGCAATGTCAGATGTGGTCTGCAGACTTCCATGTATTATGCCTTGCTCTACTATCACATCAAAGGGTTGGTCTAAATGTTTATATTTCCTCAGGACATTGGTCAAATAAAGGAAAAAGAATGAAAATCAGTATAGAAAAATAGTTTGAAATTCACAGTATAATATTCAGTACTATTTAAGCTAGGGTTTCCCAACCTGTGGTCCGAGGAGCCCTTTGGGTTCTGTGTGCACTTCCCAGGTGCTCTGCGGCTGCTCCAGGAAAATGAAGAAATAAAAATTGAATGAAATTAGAGAATAAGAATAAATTTTCATATATACTCCTAAACACCATTAACTTGTAAGACATTGGGTAGGCCTCTTAGGGGCTTTGCCATAGAAATAAGGGCTCCATGAGTCAAAAAGGTTGGGAACCCCTGATCTAACCAATAACACTTTCATGAAATATATAGGTGTTCAAAAAATCTATGCATGAATCAACAATATGATGCTATGACATAAAAGGTCAATGCCATTTTAGATTGTATTAAACATTTCAAAGGATTGGATTGGCATCTTGTACATATTACCTAAATATAAGTTGGACCA